TTAACGAATCGGACGATTTACACCAAAGAGTTAGGTACGAGATGACAACTCGTATTCTTTCCTCTACATCTAACATAAAAAACGAGTTTCATACTTAGAAAATATTTTCTTATTAAGCATCCGAATACACACCGCCCGGCGGTAGGGATTCAAAGCCACCAACGGCCAGTCCCGGAAAAACAACGACAAAATCAAAAAAACTAAGAACATCACACATCAAAGTCATCAAACGCAGGTTGATCGACTTCGCCATCTACATCCGAAATCCCAGGACCGACTTCAACCGAATCCGGCGACACCACGACGCGATTCCATTGATCCCACATACGCGCCTTAAGGTCGAAAAACTCGGACTGCATATCTTTTTCCCGATCCAAATCTTCCCATCGCATTTCGGATTCCTTAGCAAACGAGTACCCTTCATTCTGAGTCAGGGATAACCCATGAACGATCCCGCGACATTCTCGATAATCACCATGCGCCCGTTGAACAGCTTCCGCATCCGAATTACCGGTTGCAAATCACTCGTGATGAACCTTCATCTCCTCGGCAACCTCTCGTTTGCCCGCACGACAAGCACGACGAATCTTTTGGTCAGAAAGCTCCTTAGCACGACGAGACCTGGTCGCACACTCATCCCTCACGCGAGTAACCTCCCTCGCGATAATTTCTTCGGCTTGGTTGGCCTCGACCTCTGCCCGAAGACGAACAACTTCCTTTTCGGCCATGTTCGCTCGAAACTCGGCAAGGCGAGCCTCAGCAGTACGGTTGTCCAGGGCTCGGCTCATGATAAGGAAACCCTGCCAAAGAGAAGAGTTAAGCCATGTCATAAAAATTGCTCGAAAAGGAAAACAATAAACGCACGTACCTCCTTTGCTATCTCAGACCCCCTAGTAAGCTCTGGAACTTGATCATGGTCAATGTCCGGAAAATGGGAGGTCGATGATCCGCCCGCCCTCGTCCAGAAGCCATCTTCCGCCTGAGTATCGAGAAAATCCTTGAGGATATTATCAGGAGAAGTCGCGCGCTCAAAGTCATCGTCTTCGATTACCGGGTTCTTATCCCTTCGGAAGCGAGATTTGCCACTCCCCATCGAGGGAACATGCGGAATGAACTCTCCGATAAACGGATCCTCCTCGTAAATCGGAGAATCCGCAAAACGTCGAGATCAGAAGAGGGCAACCGCTTGACGGACGCGTTGCGTAGAAAAACTGCACCAACCACTTTCACCACGTTTGAAAGAAGTGGTGATAACCGAAAGATCCGCAGGATACGGAGGCAAGGGGTTGGTCACTGCGGAAAAACAGGAAGTCATCTTAAAAAAAAAACATATAATAAGGGTTCGTGTGAATTCGAGTCGAATACCTTTCCGACCCCACGTGGTCGTAAAAAACGGAATGCCACCTTCCTCGACCGACGCACCGTCGATACGAACATAGAAGAAATTCTTCTTCCAAGAAGTAGAAGACGTTGAGCAGCCCGTAACAACCTCATCACGAGGATTTAGAGTGATCCTCCGCGATTGCCCTATAGGCTTTAACAGACCCTCGAGATGATCGACAGTAAGGGTGATTCCCTGCTCGTAACTTAGCGTCAAAAGACCGACGAGTTGCTTTAAACTTGAAGGATTCAATTGACTAATCGACAGTCCCAGCCTGTGAAGGAATGCACAATGACCTCCGGAATCGGGAACCATAGGTGGCATTGTTGCAAGAAGATGTTGTAACACGTGAAGAAGCCGTCGGGCGCATCCTCGTCGCTCTCCCCGGCAAGTGGGGAACGAAACTCAACGGCCTCTGGGACTCGGCAGAATTCACGCATGTAATCAATGCTGTTAAAAAGCGTCAAGCTCGGACGTCCAGAAATCTGATCGACGTCCGACAAAGNTGTTGTAACACGTGAAGAAGCCGTCGGGCGCATCCTCGTCGCTCTCCCCGGCAAGTGGGGAACGAAACTCAACGGCCTCTGGGACTCGGCAGAATTCACGCATGTAATCAATGCTGTTAAAAAGCGTCAAGCTCGGACGTCCAGAAATCTGATCGACGTCCGACAAAGCTGGAACCCAAGTTCCAGGCCTAGCGGACCCCGACTTGTCTCCGATCGCCCAGAAAGCCTCGAAGTCCGTCGGATCGACTAACGGAGACGAGTACTCTTCTTTCGGAGCTAAGGCTGGAGGCTGCGAACTCGTTCCCTCAGAATTGTGAAAATTGGAACTAGTTGAGGAACGAGTTTTTCTTCCTGAAAACATGTTTGAAGATCTTCAGAGAAAGTGGAGAAAAAATTTCTTGAATAAGTTGTAAAAGATGGAGTAAAGAATTCAAAATTTTACTCCATATACTTATAGGGAAGAATTTTACTATTCACCTTTGGACTTTTGGCCATTAAAATTCCGCCTAATTCCGCCAAACTCGCCAAACGCACTCAATCCACTCGCAAGAATCTCACGATTCTTACGAGCTGGGGGGCTAACTGTTGGAGTCAAAATCGGTACGACGGATTTAATAGCCAAAACTCCCCGCGAAAATACAAAAAAAAACAGTTTTATAAAACCTGAGGAATAGTTTGATAAAACTCAACGTCATTTATAAAACTCGCAGACCGTTTTATAAAACTCGAAAGATCGTTTTATAAAACTCGAAGATCGTTTTATAAAACTCGAGAAATCGTTTTATAAAACTCGAGAAATCGTTTTATAAAACTCGAGAAATTTTTTTATAAAACTCGAGAATCGTTTTATAAAACTCGAGAAATCGTTTTATAAAACTCGAGAATCGTTTTATAAAACTCGAGAATCGTTTTATAAAACTCGAAGATCGTTTTATAAAACTCGAGAAATCGTTTTATAAAACTCGAAATATCATTTTATAAGACTCGAAAGATCGTCTTATAAAACTCGAAGATCGTTTTATAAAACTCGAAGATCGTTTTATAAAACTCGAGAAATCATTTTATAAAACTCGAGAAATCGTTTTATAAAACTCGAGAAATCGTTTTATAAAACTCGAGAATCGTTTTATAAAACTCGAGAAATCGTTTTATAAAACTCGAGAATCGTTTTATAAAACTCGAGAATCGTTTTATAAAACTCGAAGATCGTTTTATAAAACTCGAGAAATCGTTTTATAAAACTCGAAAGATCATTTTATAAGACTCGAAAGATCGTCTTATAAAACTCGAAGATCGTTTTATAAGACTCGAAAGATCGTCTTATAAAACTCGAAGATCGTTTTACAAAACTCGAAGATCGTTTTATAAAACTCGAGAAATCATTTTATAAAACTCGAGAAATCGTTTTATAAAACTCGAGAATCGTTTTACGAAACCGCAAAAAACCGAAAAAGCCGTAAAATGCAAACTAGTCGCAACTAGGACTTCAAGACGACCAATCTCATCAGGAACACCAATATCAATCTCCCTGTCAAATCCTCCAAACCTTCTCAAAGCTGGGTCAATGCTGTTAGGACGGTTGGTTGCTCCCATAACAATCACATGTGCTCTAGATTTAAGCCCATCCATAAGCGTCAAGAGCTGTGAAACAATCCTTCTCCCAACCTCCCCATGAGTCTTTTCTCTCTTTGGAGCAATGGAATCAAGCTCATCAATGAAAATGATCGAAGGTGCATTCTTCTCAGCCTCCTCAAAGGCTTTCCTAAGGTTGCTTTCACTCTCACCAGCTAGCTTGGACATGATCTCCGGACCATTGATACAGAAGAAAAACGCACCGGTCTCATTAGCAACAGCACGAGCAATCAGTGTCTTGCCTGAACCTGGAGGGCCATAGAGCAAGATTCCTTTAGGAGGCTTAACACCGATGGACTTGAAGAGCTGTGGATGCCTCAAAGGAAGCTCAACAAGTTCTCTAATCTGAGCCATTTGTTTCCTAACACCACCAACGTCATCATAACCAACTAGGACAAGCTCGACTAGTTCGCCGATGGGCGAACTAGAGACGTCCCGGACACTCCGCGTCTCGATTTCATGCATTCCCGATTCGAAACTTACGTCTTTCGACTTACCGTTCGAGTTTTACGATAAAAACCGTAAAACTTCGTTTTCTCGGAAAGAACTCGAGGAAATCATATAAAACGGCAACGGTTAAACGAAACACCGAACATTGCCTAAACTATACGATTTATTCGAGATTTCTCGTTGAAATCATAAAAAACGCGCTTTTAACAAAAATCGCCGAGTAAGTCGCGAAAAACGTGTTTTTAATTAAAAGTCGAGTAAATCGTAAAATCTTGCGATTAACTCGAGAAATTTATTAAAAACGACGTTAGACCAGGAAACGATCCCGTAAAAAGTCGGAAAACGGTTTTTATCGCAAAACGGCCCGGAAGGACCTAAAACGCGATAAAAACCCATCTCGCGATTTCAACGGAATCAAACCCGCAGATTTGATAACGTTTTGACGGTTTACTCGCGGAAGGAAAATAAAAGTCAAGTTTAAAGATAAAAGGAAGGTTTGAAGAGAAATAGAAGATTTCCGCAGAAGAAAAAGAAGGATCGAGAAAAATGGAAAATTCCCGATTTAGTCAGATCTGGGCGAAATGGAAAGATCGGATAGCCAAGACGAGGAGTATATAAAGAGGAGGTCTAGGGCAGAAGCAAGGGACACGAAATTGAGAGCTTTCACCACCAAAACTAGCATTTAGGAATATTTCCGTTTTTCTGTTAGCGAGCTGCGTCTCAATTAGGGTTTTCGTTCTTAAGCTTTTCGGCTACTCTTTTGTACCAGTTCTACGCAGACCTCTTTGCTCTCTATTTCTTTTATTTTCATTCAAAACCTAAGTTATCGTTTTCTTAATCTTCGTTGTGCGGTTCTCGCAGATAGCCGGTTCCTATGGAAACTTAGGGTTTTCCCGAAGTTTCCTTATTTACGATTATTTGACAGTAGGTGGAAATCGACACCCACACACGCCCCTTGAAGACTATATATGTTGATATGATGTGGTGTGTGTTGATGAAGATAAGGCACTGTGGCTGCAAGCCCAGGCCTTGATGAACACAGTTGGACAGTCCATGGCCTTGGATGGCCTGATCTTGTCAGATCTCATACTTCCAGTGGGATTTATGAAGATCTGATTAAATGTTCTTCTTAATGGGGAATTATCATGAATTATCATGGTTTTTAATTATTTTTTAGGAATTGATTTAGAGGTGGTCCCTTATGGCCGGTTTGACTAAATTGGGTCCGGATCTATGTGATCCAGGCCGGTTCTTAGGACTCTGATTGGACCATCCTCTTAGTTAGTATTTATCATGAATTTTAAAGGGTTTTAATTAATTTTTAGGGATTTATTTGGAGTATGTCAGATTTGGCCAGATAGGGAATTCTAGGAACCGAACCATGCTTTTCTAGAACTGTTGCTAGGACATCGGTTTAGATATGTATTGGTGATGTGTTATAAGGATCCAAGACCTTGAGGAAAGGATCGGATCATTGATGATCTACCTCATCCATGTGGGATGATGGTTAGATGATATCCTTGTGATAATGATCCATGTTGGATCATGGATTGATGTTGGGTTTGATCATGGTGTAAACCATTGATCTGGCTCATTGAGGAGACACATCGGGTCCTAGTATCAGAGGAACCATGTGGAGTGCAAGGTCCAATTCGTTTGGAGCCAACAGCAAGCAAAGGACATGAGTAAGGGTAGTACTTGTTGGCATGGACCATAAGTATTGAGCTGGTATGTTATATAAGGAAGGCCGTGTGTGATCTGATCATGGGCAAGGATGGACGACCTGAGCCATAGTTGATAGATCAAGGTGGCTGATCTGATTGATCAAAGGATGCACCGGTTGTAAGAGTTAAACCGATCGGTTCATTGGGACATGGTTCCATGGCCGGTTAGGTGAGTGTGAAGACTCATCAGTTCTGAGTCATGTGGGGTGGTTGGTTGATTGACTAAGGATCTGATGAGTATTTTTAGTCCATGAGAAGGACTTGGTATCATGTTCGACAAAGAATAAGGATGATGCATGAGCTGAGAAGAGCTAGATGCATGTCCTTTACCATTGAAGACTTCCCAAATGTTACTTGGTCAGTGGGGATGGTTGGTTGAATGACTAAGTACCCAAGGGGAGATGTTTATGCAGGTGTAAGAGAGCTGGACGAGTTGGCAGGAAGCTGGGCGCAGCTATCTTGTAGCTCGATCAGCTGGAAGAGGTTAGATGCAACCTCAAGAGAAGTGGTTCATCTTAGCTAGCTAGATGAGCTAGCTAAACAATCTGAGGCAGCTGTCCTTAGCTCGGTTTCAGCTAGCTTAGGTGTATCAGCTCGATGAGCTGGATGAGTTAGCTAAGTCAGCTAGGAGTATGAGCTAGCTAAGTCAGCTAGGAGGGTGAGCTGGACCGATGAGTTAACAAGCTCCATGGATGTGGCAAAGGTATGATCTAGCTACTTTCTTGTAGTTCTAGCTAGAATGGTTTAGGGGAATGGAACCTCGGATTTTTATGACTTGTTTTGGGTTCAGGATTGACCTTGGAGCTAGTGGTAGTTGAGAATACTAATCAAGGCTGAGGTGATTCGACCAGACAAGTTCTAGATTGGTTGTAGACCAATGGTTAGTGTAGAATAATCCGTTTCATATGAATAGAAGTTATCTAAGCTAGGGAAAGACTAGGGTAGTCTTAGGCTATGATCTGAATTAGCCCTCGCCTATGGGCGATATTATTTATAAAGGACGAAAAATTTAGAGGCTCGGTCCGGAAGAGGATCGAGCGACGTGAGGCTTTGACCGCGGCCTAGACGGCCGGATTCGGGTCTTACACTCTCTTTGGCTATTTTTTTCTTCTAAAAGACGACGAATCCGATGAGAAAGGGAGCATCAGGATGTCGAATCACCATACAAGAAGGAACATCAGGATGTCAGATCACCATACATATATTGGAGGAAAGAAAGCTTCTTCTCTAACCAACCACCATCGAAGATGGCGACGACTACAATAGATCTGTCCCAATTTTTTTTTTTTTTTTAGATCTATGTTTTTTATCCATATGTCTCTTAATTCCTAATCTATAGACTCATATTTTAGTTTTTATTTTGGTTTGTAACTTCAATTTATGTTTGGATGATTAATCTTAAACTTGTCAAAAGCTTTTTTGGTCGACTTGGTTATAAAAAAGCCGTATTGTAACCATAACTCGCCTTTGATTATAACAAAACTCAGCCATAATTTGATTATAACTTAGCTGTAACGTAGGCATAACTCAGCCGTAAAGTATGCATAACTCAGTCCTAATGTATGCATAACTCAGCTGCAATTTGATGAGTTATAACTCAGCCGTAACGTATGCATAACTCAGCCGTAAAGTATGCATAACTCAGCCATAACATATGCATAACTCAGCTTGTAAAATATGCATAACTCATCCTGTAAAATATGCATAACTCAGCCATAACGTATGCATAACTCAGCCATAACGTATGCATAACTCAGCTGCAATTTGATGAGTTATAACTCAGCCGTAACGTATGCATAAATCAGCCGTAAAGTATGCATAACTCAGCCATAACATATGCATAACTCAGCCGTAAAATATGCATAACTCATCCATAACGTATGCATAACTCATCTGCAATTTGATGAGTTATAACTCAGCCGTAACGTATGCATAACTCAGCCGTAACGTATGCATAACTCAGCCGTAAAGTATGCTTAACTCAGCCGTAACGTATGTATAACTCAGCCGTAAAGCATGCATAACTCAGACCTAACGTATGCATAACTCAGCCGTAACGTAAATGAATGGTATAAGACAGCCGTAACGTTCCTATAAGTCAGTCTTCAAGTGTAATTTCTTTTATGACGTTTCATATTTTGGGAGAGAATAAATCATTAAGTCAACCCTGAACACAATATTAAAACTTTAATCTTTCTTAAGTTTGAACCTCATATTCAGATATTCAGATGATGCAAAATCTGAGTCATTAAAAATATAAAATTAGCTTTCAAATTCATCATCTTCTTCGTATTCTCTTTTTTCTTTTTTCTTCCAATTTATGGAATTTAGATTTTTTTCATTTCTTTCTTTGACTATTTATTCTTCTGCAAGACGGCAAATTCGATAGGAGAGGGAGCAACAAGATGTCAGGACACCATACATGACACTAGAAGAGAGGAAGCTTCTTCTCAACCGACCACCATCGAAGACAACGATTGCAGTAAATCTGTCTCAGATTTTTAATTTTTTAAAATCTATGTTTTTTAAACCCAGTTGCCGAAAAAACAATTACCAGATCCATAAGATCTAAGAGAAATATGAAGAATAAGATGAAAAAGATAGATAAAGAAGATGAAGAATGAAGAATATAAGACTCTGCGTCTCTAACATAAATCCTTATTTTAGTTTTTCAATGTTAGTAATGACATGGTTAGTAAGAGTTGATGACTTGGATGATGACATGGAAAATCGCTAAGTCAACCACCAAACGAACACATAACTCAGCCTAAATAAACCAGACATCAAGTACAACGTAAACCAGCTGAAACATGAATACTATTTTAGTAATTAATCTTTTACTAATAAATCAGTCATAATTAGGATGTAAAATTATAAGTCAGCCGTATCATCAAATAAATCAGCCGTCAAACGAATGATATTCTAGTAATTAATCTTTCGCTAATAAGTCAGCCGTAATTATGTGAGTTTATTGTTAATCCAGGCAGTTACAGTTGATTAAATATAACTCAGCCGTAAAAACCTCTCATAAGTCAGCCGTAAATTTAATAACTCAGCCAAGGCGATGTTCATTAACCCAGCCGGTGAAACATAACTCAGCCATGTCTTAATTACAACTCAGCCGAATTTTCCAGAAATAACATCGTTGATGTATAAGTCAGCCGTAACTTATGTACGTAA